TCAAAGTCACAAACAGTTCAAGAGCTTCCATCCGGAGCTGCTCTGAAAGCGTACTACTAAACCGGGTGCCAGTGCGACTTTTGCAGGAGTAAAGCATATGAAACCAAACTCCGTTCTCGGACACACTAGGCGTGAGCTCACAAATTCGGTTCGAGTTGGCATTAGATATGTCTTTTTAGTTGGCTGCTTGGTAGCCTCAGGTGTACACTTCCGGAAAGAACCAGCAGCTGGAAAACAGCAACCTCGAGATAGACGCGAAAGTGTGATGGCATGCGGCGTCCATCACATACTAAATCATGAGCCTATCAGTGCACCGGAACACGTACATGGCATGGCCCAGTTTGTCAGTAGGGTAAAGTCACCACTCTAAGCGACCACTCGCGTTCCCCAGATCATTATTTTTCCCACATTCTCCAGGTAAAACACCTAGATATGTACCCGGATAGCCCAGGTAATCCTAATACATAAATGTGCAGAGCATGAACCGGAAACCACTTAGACCAAGTTCACTGGGTCTAAAGTAAGGTATGAAACTGTCTCATAACCTCGGGAAACTAAGGCGGATCTGCTGAAATGTATCCGTCGACAGTTCGCCACTGATGGCCAACCAATCTAATGCGACTAGCACAAAAATGACCGCAGTCGCTGCACATCGAGCTTGTTTGATTTCCCAGTTCAACAGCTCGGACAATATCCTTTTCTCGTCCCTAGTTCAAAGTTGCCGGTCATTCGTACGGTTTTCTTCCATACGGTCCTGTTTGATACTTCTGTTTATTCCGCTTCTTGTTCTCTGATAACCGCTGTTCCAGCTACCACTGACGGAGGAAGGTAACCGGCCTCCATTCCCCTACAAAATGCCCACCGGAAGACCCCTTGGCCGGAACTTGTCCAGTACAGTGAGCGCCAAAGGCACGCCTCATGCAATCCATGTGAAATTTGCTAAAACATCGAGGGTTGAATTTGTACATGCCCTGTATTTCACAGCCATACAAGACTGAGAGAAACATCATCTTGCAGAATTGTAGTTCCGTTTCTAGCTCCCTTGCTTCGATCCCCTATCGAGTTTACCAAAAGCTATGAAGGCCCTGGCAAAACAATTGAGCCAGGAGACAGGGCAACCCCAGGTAGTACAGTTCCATCAGTAGACATCAGAAACACCACTGAACGGAGAGCTCTGCGAGGAGAATTGTCCTCTGGTAGACGAAAAGCACGGTCTAACCAGCGCAACCTGCGGAATGTGACCAGCTGATCTATTGAGTCAGCATTCCCGAAAACCATCTGACCCTCAGCATTACTGATTTGATGTTCCTTCCCATCACGCACGCGCAATGTTCCGGAGGCACCGATACCCATCGTAGCTCTAATGCACCCAAACGTGGGGTACCTGCTTCAAAATTAGGCCAAATTGGACGTGAACAATGTACATTTTATACATTGCGGCCGAATAGACGTCACAGAGGGGCCACGGAGGTTGACAAAAGCGGCCCCGGCCTCTTCGATTCAGGATGTGATTTCTTCCTGCATCACTCTGCCGAGCTAGGCTGGCAAACAGATTAGTTCAGTTCCTAGCATAGGCTTTATGTTTAATAGCACTCAGGCCTGTAATAGTACTTTACATTTTCCAGGTCTGAAGCACATGCCGAGCGGTGCTTAGAAGATATTCATGTTATTTCAGATACCTTGAATTTCACCCAACAGCAATATATTCAGCGTGCTCAATGTCTGTGAGCGAAGTATTTCAATACCGGGGTTTAAGATAAAAGTAAAGAACACCCAGGCGGGAATCCATTACGAAGCTGAACAGGAAGATTCACTCTTCACAACGCCCTTACATGACTGGAGAGCTCAGATGTTTGCTGTAGACAAGCACTAGAGGAAGCCCACAGAGTCTTAGTGAGAAACAGGGATTTAGAGAGGAAATCCTTCACCACACTGCTATAGCACCCGACTGCAAACAAGGTCGAAACCGGCCTCTAGATCACAAACAACAAAACTTGCTCGTAGCCGGAAATAGTGGCCATTCCAGTACGTCATAACGTAATGATCGATGCAACTGCGACCATGGCGAAAGCCTGCCTGATTCCCACTAATCGGACTCTGTTTTCGTTCAATTTCCTCGCACACTTTCGAATGTACGAATCATCGAGGCGGTGCCCCACTGTCGGCATTGTCTTCATCGTAGATATTTTCGACTGAAGCCGTCAAACCAGACCACCACCACCCTCGTTGAGGACGATGTTGTCTGGACCAAGAACATTGTTGTGCCGAGGGACTTCCTTTGTCAGTAAGACACTGATGTTCATACCAGAGGTTGGGTCGCAGTCAGATGAGCCGTTTTTCAGCATTCAGTCAAGACATTCCTGTGGTTCCATCCTCTACGGGGATCGGTTGACTAAAACCCACCCTTACCGGACTAGTTGATCGGATTAGGTACAAAATGGTGCATGACTGTATCAGTCCAAGGTCCAGACAAGGATATCATCATTGTTATCCTGACTGCCATAGCGCTTCTGCTCGACTACGACAGCTTATGTGCTGCAGTGCGACCCAAATCGTCAAATGGATAAACAAACTGACTGCTGTTGGTGTTTGACCACCGATGTCTTTGGAGCATTGCCCCACTCCCGCAGAAAATTTGGACTCATCACGTTCACGTATTCCGAACAGCTTTCACAGACATACCACACACGATTTATGACATGATGATATGTCACAGGTTGTGTTAACTTGGCAGCATGCTTCCGACCGAATTCCTCGATAAGCTCTATCGAGGCAACCACGCAGAGGGTGAAAACGAAGCAGAGGTAGTCAAACAATAACCCACCAATAAAGTATGGAAGCCATCACCGAGAAAATCAGCCGTTTGTCCGGAAAGAGAAGAGAAAACAGAACACAACAGTCGTTGGGCACTAAAAGCTCACTCGCGTGCATCCAGCACGTTACCGCACTTCATGAATAACTTCCCCGTCAAAGGGCCACCATTACTACTACTACTACTACTGTTTTATCGTTTATTTTTAAGAACAAGGTCACAAGCATAGAAAAATATACCAAGTAATGGACGTCGGTGTACAGAACACTGGATACAACCAGGAAAGCGTCTTATTCTAAGGTGTGCCACCAGCAGTTCCAGTGGGACAAGATGAATCCCAACGCATGTAAGAATGTTTGGTACGGAAACACGCGGGTAAAGGCCAGTAACTGAAGAAACTGAAAAAATAAATGCGCGTTAAGCGCTAGCACAGTCAAGACTCACACATCGGGCACAGTGTCCGTGATTGAGTCAGGTGAAAAGGTCAATGGCAAGAATGAACACTCAACACCATATGCCACGCGTAAGTGTCGCAAGTAAGCAGAGGGCCGAGCAAACAAGTCACTTCAGTGACCTTAAGAAGTCCCAGTCCAATAACAGCTGTGACGGATTGACGTAAGCATAACCCTCGATATACCGTTCGGCTGTAGCGCCCTTTTGGTGCAAAATTGCCATGCCACCCGAAGGAAGCACGAGGGCTGGGATACTGTCAGGTTGCCCAAGTCGACATAGGGGAGATCAAGATGCAAAGGTCGGGTTCGAACAACGCACCCTCCGGTCAGTAAATTCGCACTAACGAGAGCCATCTGACCCCGAGATCTCCGACATGAAATGATCGATTGGTGGACCGAAAAGTCGATATCATTACCGATTGCACGTAAGGCTGAGATGATGACCAGGAAACAATCAGCACATAATCCTGTTTCTCCTCATTTCAGTCACTCCACGACCATGCTTACTTCTATCACGGTGGTTGGGCGCTCCCGAACATCGATTAGAGCAGAGTTGATGGAAGACGTCGAAGTAGGCGATCTCAATTCCTCGAAGACAGTGTACCCCAAGCGACGAGCACGTTTCGCGATTTTCCTTGCAACCCGGTTATGATAAGCCCATCTAGCATCATGCGTGACCCAGCAGGACTGCAGAATATGCGCCAAACTCTCCGGTTGTCCAGTTCCCAAGACAAGACCGTCTGGCCACCATGACCACATCGGGCGCACCTTAAGCTGGATAATGCGGATAAATATCCGAAGAAACACAAGCCACTGATTCGAGAGAAGCGAAGCGACTAGCTCTCGTAAGTCGCGACCGTCAAAGCTGTTATACAGACTATCACCCCAAGCAACTACCAGTTCTTCCTTCGTGTTTGCGCATGCAACTTAGACTTGGATCGAAGGCTGAGATTCCGAACAACCTTACCAAATGCGGAACCACTGACCACACTGCGCAGAACTAAACATCGGGTAGAAAGTCTTTCCATACGCGCTCTCCACTGCATTGGATGGTTGCACCCAGACATGGGATGGCAGGTCCCCTAAGTTGTTTATCGAAGTGGATGTAGCTGATCGGTGTCCTGAGGTAGATACAGCCAGCCACGAGCAGACTGCCTGATATAATTCTCCAACCTTTAGAACGTGTTTCGGTGGGATTGGCCGAGCACGAGCGAGTGTCACCCTCGGTATCAAGTAGTTCCTTGTGATCTCCATTCTTTAGTGCGGCTTCAAAGGGGCATGCGTCACTTCATCAAGCAGTTCCAGCAGCTGCTGTCGGTGGTTGCAGACACCTTGCCGCTTGAAAGTGAATGGGATGCCCAAATATATCACGGTGTCTGTCGGACCCACAGAATTGATGAATTCCTCGACAAAGCAAAAAGGTTCGACTGAGACGGCTGTCAACCGATGTTTCCTGTCCCAGAAATCATCACAGCTTTCGGGTGTTGATTTTCAAACCAGCTCTTCCCAACTCGACTGCAGCAGCTTGGAGCTGCTACTGATACTACTATTGGATTCATCCGCAAACGATATCAGCAGTTACCATCAGTACGCAGCTATCCACTACTACTATTTTCCAGAAACGAAAATGAAAATGTCGCGGCTAGTACTTTGTGTTGTTTTCGGCTGACGACGATAATGATTAACGTACAATAAGAACAGAACAACCAAACACCAACAATTACAATCAAGGCCCCTTGAAACAGCAGGCTAACTACTCACAGTATAGCTGAATTTATATATTGAAAATACTACATCAGTCGTGGAATTAAAAACTCCCTGGCCCGATAATTGAACAACTGAACAGAGCACACTGAGAAGGTACTTTATCATACAAAATGATCGGTAAAAACCTTGCTTACCTAGGCTTGTGGGATATGTGGTCGAAAGACATAGACAAAGTGCTATGGTCATGCACATAACTTGTAGGTGTTAAAACGATCAATAAGCACTAGGGGGAAGTCGCAGCCGAAAAGGGATACGACAGTAGGATAGCTACATTATGTACACACACACATCCATGAGATTAATATTAGCATCACGAAGGAAGAATATAAAGAGGCTATGGGGAAGCTGTTGTGAGTACATGTGAATGGGTATCTTTGAAGGAACAAAACCTATCCAATCAAAGAGAGGAAGCGAAGTGGACGAACAACAGAGATAGAACACAGCCATAGTCACGCTGTCACGGCGAATGAGGAAAGCTGGAAGGACAGAGTGAAAGAGAACCCCGAGTACAATGGTGCCAATAAATGTTGGGACCATAGGCGGTTAGACGGGAATTGAAGAAATTCGCAGTTTCAGGGGTGTTCCAAAAGAGAAAATTCCTATTGTCAGAAATTCTATCGGTCGCAAAGAGTTGCTGCTGCCTGTAACTTAGACAAGATTAGTGCGTGAGACGGTGGCGATGTTCGAGCCAAGAAAAAAACTAAGCAAGTTTGTTATGTACACCACAGCAAACCGAACAAAACAAGATTGGAATTTGCAAAAGGACTAGAGCATGACGAAAAATAGCTTTATGTGGCAGGAGTTTCGGATTTTGAGCTGATTGAAGTTATCGCAGGCTGAGTGGAAAGAGCTTTCTTGCCTCGTCTGTAGACTGCTCCACGAGAAGTCATGTAACGTGTCAAACTGGTACGGATGCGATCTTGGAGTGTTTCGGTTAAAGTTGGGGGCATTGTGTAACGACAACGCAAGAGTTCTTTGGACACAAAAGCGTGAGTCATCTGAAAGTAGGAAAAAAGTAGTAGTCGGATGCAGTGAAACATAAAATCATGCAAAAGCTGTAAACGTATTTGTGGTTCATATTTGTATCAGCACAATTGTGTTCATTTGGAACCGTGTAATAAGGGTATGGTGCTTTAAGTCGCAACTGAGAAGTCGACCGATAACAGCGAAAATGAAGAGGGGAGAACTACGCACTGGAGGAAATGGCCCAACCATTTCACGGAACTCACACTATTTTCTGAGGACGGAATATGGACAGATGTGCATTGTGACGCGGGAGCGCCACCGACTGCGTAATCAGGCCATGAGCGCCGATGTCAGTATTCAGTGGTGGTTATGGGGTCTACCACCAAGAAGATAGAAACAGCTAACGTGACTGTCAATCATACCACAGTTAGCCTTCAAGTAGTAAACAACACGTCTACTGTATGCGACTTGAGATTGTTTAGAAAAATCCTGTACTGTACTCTGGTACTGCTTTTGGATTGAATACCAGCGCCGTCACGAAGAGACGCACAGTCTCTATACCAGGTTGGTCAATGGTTAGAGGTCTGACGAACACAGTCTCCTGGCCCTCCAGGTTGGGGGTTGGAACATGTGGCGAACTG